TTGCATCTCCTTGATGACTAGTGAGGTTGAACATTTCTTCATGTATCTGTTGGCCGCTCACATGTCTTCTTTTGAGAAGTGTCTGTTCATATCTTTTGCCTACTTTGTAATGGGCCAACCTCTTTCTTATAGTCTTATGGTAAATGTTCAGGGTCACTTTTGGAGTGAGAGCATGTGGTACTCTGCTCTTTTTTTCTGTGATAGATCACTAAGTATATAGACTCTAAATCCATCCAAGTTGCTGTGAACTCCTTCTTTATGGCTGCATGATATTGTGTATATGTATCACATTTTTCTAACCAGTCCAGTTTCAATGGGCAGCACGGTTGGTTCCATGTTTTTGCTATTGTGAATAGTGCTGCAATAAACATGTGGGTGCAAGTGTCTTTTTTGTAGAATGATTTGAGTTCCTCCGGGTATATTCCCAGTAGGGGGATTCAGTTTTAATCTTAACCTTCATGTTTTCCATTGTTAGATTCAGCAAGTAGTTGTTGCACACACACACACACACACATACACACACACACGTGTACACACACGCACACACATAGTGCTAGAAGTAGAAGAAGATATACATATGACAACTTCTGTTCTTAGGTATAGAGAATGTAAGAAAATAATATACTAATTGAAATAGAAGGCCAAATAATACTGTTTATGAAACTTTAAACAAGGAAGATAAAAAATCTGATTTGGGGAAGTATGGACAGGAAGAGGTGTACATCAGGAAAGGTTTTCTGGAGGAGTTGGCTTTTGAGCTGGGCTTATAGAGTAGAATCTTTTTCCAGAGATTTGTAAAAGTTTCTTGTGGTACAACTAACATTCCAAAGTATAGTGCATATTTAGGGAAGCAATGGGATATAAGGTTGGTGAGGAGTTTGTACTTTCTGGGGGAAAAAAAAGACCTTGAAGGATTTTAAGTAGGGAAGTATTACTCGTGTACCTGGCTCTGAGGTCATCCTCTTCACTTGTGCTTTGGATCCTATTAGCTCCTCAAGTCTT